TTTTTAGAGAGAGAGAGTCGGTGATCATGTGGCAGATGTGGTGATCATGGTGTAGAGTCACGTTGGTGGAGAATTGATAGGTAGTGATGGTGGTAGTGATGGGATAGGGAAAAAAAAGAAAAAAGCATTTATAAGAACTGTGAAAAGAAACTTTCTCACAAATAACATAAACCACATGCTTTGTATTCGTAATACGGAAATAAGTAGGGTAGCTTTTGTAAAGAAGTAGAGAACCGAACTTTTACACTGTTTTAACCGGGACATTAATACGAGGCAAGATATCTCGTATTTATTACAATATATGTATATATACGTATAAATTGGCAAGCAGCGATATTTACAACACAAGCCCCCACAGAATTCAAAAGAAAATAAGAGGGAAAATAATGTAAAACAGTGGATAAATCCAGCAAAAAAATAACAAGCATGGGTATATGAGAATGTCCCTTTCGCAGTTCCCAATCTGTATTCATTAGTCCTAGGTCTAAAAGAATAAACTGATCATTCTGGTGTTTCATTCTCTGTGAAATGTGTACCTTTTTTTTTTGCATTCTCTGTGATAATTGCCGTTTCTCTCTGTCTCTACTTTTTTTTCACTTATTACTTTTTTTCCGTTTCGTTATCATTCTCTTTTTCTTTTTTATATCATACTTTTGTAAAAGTACTTTTTTTTCTCGGTTTCCACAAGACAGATTGGATACTGAAATAAACATTCTACATATGAATAGTTATGTGTGAGACATGTGTGAAACGTGTTCCTCGACATATTATGTACAGTATTGCCTAACTGTATAGATATATATGTACATGTATATAATGTTTTCCGCGCGACCATTTTGTGAGTAAAATCCAGTGTCGTACGCTCTTTGTATCGTATTTTTGTACAATATGTATATATAATAATAATAAATAATAAGTCTATTTACGTATGGAATCGTCTAAAAGTAACTGGTCCAATCACATCTGTCTCTAGATTGTTAAACGATTCACTGGATTAATACATTCTAATGGTATTACTTCAAGTCCTACTACAGACGATAATACATGGTTATTCTACCGACCATGTTCCTCTGTTTCGTCAGTATTGCTCGCTAGTCACAAAATGCTGTACATGGAAAATTAATCGATCTGCCTGGTTAAACAGTTAGTAGGCCGTCTCTTACCTGTCGTGCACTCGATGTCCGGCGATCCACTGGTACCTGGTGGACACCTGCACACGAATATCGCTCCGTCTCGTATACATTCGGCACCCTTGCCGCAACCATTCGTTCGACAATCCCCTAAAGTCTTGTCCGCGATGCCTGTGCTCGCGATAAAAAAAATTAGGTACGGATGAAAATTGAGAATAACGAAACGAATTCGTAATTTTGAGAAAATAACGAAAAATTGATTTACTAGATATAGAAATATTTTAGATTCTTCATATTTTTACATTACATTGTAGTTTATGCGATTTCCTATAAATGCATAAAATCATTTTATGTCTAATCATAATATGATTATGAACTTTTCTCCAATATTAAATACATTATTAAAAAATAGAATTCAATAATACAAATTGATTAAAAAGATGTTAACATAACATTGACCTTAACGTACGAATCAAAATATCATTATCTGTTAAAAATTATTAGTGTGAATTTACTTACAAGTCTGCGTTGGATCTCCAGATGGATAATTCGATGGACAATAACACTGTGGTTGATTCTTGTAAATCCTGCACGCAGCATTCACTCCGCAGCGTACATCCTTACACAGTTCTCCACCATCACAAATACAAGCCTGATGAGGATCGCCATAGCATCCAGGATCGCAAGTGCACTCGAATCCATTGAGAGTTTCTCTGCATTTTGCATTCACGCCGCATGGTCTTCTTAAGCATTCATCTCCACCTAAAACGCATCATTCAATATGTTACATTTCAATCAACTAATCTTTACCAAATTTCAAAATTACAGAATAAAATAAATTTTATTAAATAAATTTAAAAAAAAAGATAATTTTACAAAATTTTACAAAATGAAAGAAAAGGAGAAAATTTTCTAAAAAGAAAAAATTCTACAAAATACAAGAAAAGAGAAGAAAAATAACTAAAAAATTACCTTTCTTACAATTGATCTTAGGATTTCCATAATGTCCAGGTGGACAAGAGCACTGAGCCTTTCTATTAACTACTCTACACTGTGCATTGAAGCCACAGACACCATGTTGCAAGCAAGGATTCGTGCAGACACCATCCTCGCTGCAGCGTTTGTTAGTCTCACAGTCGTCATCATGATGACACTCCAGTTGATAACATTCTTGACTGGGTTCTCCTTGGTATCCTTCTGGACACAAGCATACTGCTCTATGGTTTGAAACACGACACAAAGCATTGACACCACAGGGAGACCCATTGGTTGAGCAAGGATCCTCGCACTGACCACTGACACAGGACAATGAAGCTGGACAGTCGGAATGAGTGCGACAACCGATGAAACATAGTTCTTCATCGCAAACGTATCCCTGTAAATTAAATGGTACATTCAATAAGAATATTGAATTTAATATTTCAGTTGTAACTTAATTACGAATTTTATATTTTAGGAAAGAATTAGGAATTTTTTGAAAGTGGTACCTTTGGACAATAGTTGTTAACATCACATTTGATGCGACATTTTCCGGTGTGACAAATTTCCCCACAAGAACATTGATCCTGACTGTAGCAGCTCTTCGTGCAAAAACCAATTTCATCGCATTCACAAGTGCCATCACAGGGAATCATAGATTTCGCACAGCTAATCAAAGCATTTCCATAATAATTAGCTGGGCAACTACATTGGGCTACGTGATTTACCACGCGACATCCTGCACATTCTCCGCAAGCTTTGCCACCCTCACAAGGATCTGTACAATAATATATATTATACAATAATCTGTCAATCATATATATTAATATTTCTATGAATTAATAATTCAGTATACTGATATAGCATACGTATGTTTCAGTATCTTTACATTGGTGTTTCAATACCTTTACATTTAATCAGATGTAACTCTATTTTTTAATTTTTTCCAATTATTTTAGATTTTTTATTCTTTACATTACATGCATTAATTATTTTAGATATCAAAATAAACACGAAAGTTAATATGATGAACCATTGTGCAAAATATATAATAGTATTATATAGAAATCAAATTTCAAAATATTTAATCTACTTACTTCTACACTTATTATTCACACAGGACTCATCGTTAGGACAACTGTTATCGCTTCGACATCCAATATCACAGAGCCTATTTTGACAAATCTGATTAGCCACGCAGTGATCGTCGCTATTGCAAATAGCCTTACAGATTCCACCATCGCACCGTTCGTCGCTCAAGCAATTAGCATCGCTGTAAGATGATTTACATGGTGATAAATTCAAAAAAGATAAGAAACAATCATGTTGTTTGAATGCTTAATGACCCTACCTTCTACACGTAGCGTAACAGGATCTTCCGTAACAAGTCTGACCAGTTGCACATTCCTGTTCATTATTACAAGGTAGGAAAGCCTGTTTGCAACCAATTAGAGGATCACCGACTAATGGTATAGGACAAGAACATGATTTCTGATGATTTACGACCGCGCACTTGGCATTTACTCCACAGACATCAGGAAGAGAGCAAGGATCTATGAGGCAGAGATAAAATCAAGATTATAATTCAATTCAGTCATGTTAAGTTTATGACTATACTAGTAGAATTAATAGACTAGTTAGAACGATTAATTATTATAGTAATCTATTCGAAACATCAAAAGAGTTTCTCATTTGGAAAAAGGTTTACTTAGAAAATTTTTATTTTGGAAGAATTTTCATTTAAAAGAAGGCTCGTTTTCTCAAAATTTTTGTAAAGTCCTGTATTTTTCTATGTACTATTCATTTTAATTTTATATTGTATATTTGAACTATTAAAACTTTGAATTATACTTGAATTTCTTACCTTGACATTGATTGTTCAAACAAGCGAAATTCTCCTGGCACTCCACATCAGCGCGACATCCAATGACACAAACCAATCCCTCACAAATCTCTCCGCTTCTACAATCCTCGTCTCTTCTACACAACGATTTACAAATTCCTGAAGGATCGCATCGTTCATTGCTCAAACAATTCAAGTCTGTAGAACATACAGGAGTACAGACTCCTCCTATGCAAGCTGTTCCTGTTGCACAGTCTCTATTTGCTTGACAAATAGGTCCAGGCGATCTCAAACAAGCTACTTTCGCAGTTGGATTCGGTATGAAGCCTGATGGACACGAACAAGTGGCTCGTTGATTGAATACTGTACACTTGGCATTTGGTCCACAAGGAGTGGCTTCGCAAGGATTGGTGCACTTGTTCGTGATACAAGCTTCGTTTGCGTTGCAATCTTCGTCCGCACGACAACCAAACGTGCACATGTTGTTTAGACAGATGTGACCCAAGAAACAGTCGTTATCGAGTCTACAGGTAAGAAGGCAGTTTCCACGAACGCATTTTTCATTGAAGGCGCACTCGTTGTCGGTAGAGCAAACTGGAAGGCACACGTTGTCACGACAAGTGTTACCATCGTTGCACTCATTGGTGTCTCTGCAGGACACGGGCACTGAAACCAATAAATATTTATCTCATTTAAAAAATTGATTATTATTGGATTTAGATAGGCAGCAACAAAGTTTCTCACTTACATCTGACGCACTCCACTTCCGAGTTACCAGTGAACCCAGGTGGACAACTGCATTGTTTAATGTGACTCCTCACGTCGCATTCCGCATTTATTCCACACGCAGCTCTCACATTGCATGGGTCCAAGCATTGTCCGTTGAGGCACACGTCTGATAAGTTGCATTCTTCGTCCGATTGACAGGACGCTGCAAGAATTTTAAAACACATCTTTCCTAATCTATCTGAAAATTGAGAGGTTGCTCTGACTCGTTAAACAATACTCACGTCGACAGATTCCCTCGTAACAATAAGTATTGGGCGAGCAATCTATACCTGACGAACAAATAACCGGTTTAGGTCGACAACCTATACTTAGATTGTTCGAATCACCCTCATAATCGGGCCGACACTGGCAGGCTGCTGCGTGATTAGTGGCCACACAGTCGGCGTTTGGACCACACTGTGTGCGTGAACAAACATCTGCAACACAGAGTATAAAATTAGAGTGATTGATTGTGGCATAATTTGATTTTCAGTCAGTATCCTGATTTTGAGGTTTTTAAGCGTATCAATCTCTCCGATTAGGAATTTTGATTTTTTTACTAAAATGAATTAAAAAAATAATCACCACTAAATGAATCTCTTCCAAATGAAAAAAATCTTCTAAAAATCTGTACACACATACCGAAACATTTAGGTACATTGTTGATATTTATACACTTGGCAGACAGTGGACAATCTCCATCTTGCAAACATTCTACTGGTGGTTGACAGCCGCTGTTATAAGGATCTCCAACCATTCCATGTTGACAGTAACACTTATAAGATCCTCTGGAGTTTTCACACACAGCACCAGGAGCGCAAGGTTCGTTCAGACAATAATCTATTAATTGACACCCATGTGTAGGTTCTCCAGTGTAACCTGGTTGACATGTGCAAACCTAGAACAAAATAGAAAATACGATATAATTATATTATCATATTAATTAGATAATATTATATAATATAAAATTTAAAAATTTGAAATTCTCAGATCTTCCATAATTCAATAATTAATTACCTGAACATGTCTCTCCGCTGTGCAAATAGCATTAACACCGCAAGGATTGTGAGCTAAACAAGCAATTCTGCATTTGTGTGCGTCGCAAATCTTCTCCGCACTGCAATCGTCATTGACTTCACACTCAATAGGTTGACAACCGATCTTATCATCCTTTGCATTACCAAAGAATCCAGACTTGCAAAAACAAACTGCAGCGTGATCATCTGCTTTACATTCAGCGTTGCGTCCACAGAGGACCAAGTCACAAGTTTTATGACATTCTGCTTGGCCAATATTATTCTTGATACATTTTTCATCGTAAGAACAATCGTCGTCGGATGTACAACATAGTTCTTGAACACAGATATTGTTGTGACAGTATTGATATTCAGGACAACTGGAATTGCTTTTACAAGTGGGCTGACAGAGTCCATTGATGCAAAGCTGGTCACCAATACAGTCTCTCGTGCTTCCACAAAGTGCTTTAACAAAATGGAATGTAGGAAATTTTCATGAATTTTGAGTTACAATAAGATTTCTATATTCCCGGATTCAATTGAATAATTGCTGGCTTTGAACTATTGAATAATCATACATAATTTATATTTAGCAATATCCATTAAGTAAATATTCAATACCAAAATTATAGTTAAAGTTCAATTTTAAAATTATACGATACTGCAAACCAAAACAATGAATACATTAAATTAAATTTTTTAAATTATATTCCTCTACTCACCAGTACATATTCCTCCATTGCAAGCTGAACCAGTAGCACACTGGGAGTCCGATTTACAATATTGAACAGGCGTACAACCCAAATTTGGATCACCTGTGCCACCAGGTTGACATGTGCACACTGCACTGTGATTTAAAGGAGAGCAATCTGCTCCATGTCCACATACGTTCGAAAGAGAACAAGGATCGACGCACTTGTGATTGAAACACGCGTCGGAAGGACTACAATCACTGTGATAATTGCACTCTAAGAGAATACATTCCGTCTAAAATTGAAAAAAAAACAGACGTAATTGTCACAATTAGTAAAAGGAATTTTACTGAGAATTATTTTCCAATAATTTAAAAAAAGAAATCAACTCAAAACAAAAAACATTCATAATCTAATCTAAGAAACTTGTACTTACTGCTGGATTGCCAGTAGTTTGACCAGGACATCTGCAAAGTGGAGCATGGTCGTGAACGAAACATTCAGCATTCCTTCCGCATGAAATTTCACCCGATGATACGTCGCAAGGATTGGTACATCTATTATCGATACAAGCAGCAGTATTTGGACAATCGAGATCCGTAAAACAGTCCCCTGGTTGTTTGCAACCGGATTTGAAAGGATCTCCAACCAAACCATGAGGGCAGACGCAAGCGAACGAACTTTCCGTATTTTGACAACTATAAAAGATATTTTAATTTCATGTAAATGATCAGCTTTTTTATTCACATTTTAATAAACTATTTAACACATAAATTATTTAACACATTAATTGCATGATAATCATTATGGTGAAACTGGTATTTCTATTATTATAGAATCATAAATATTGTACAGTATTAGTATAAATATTATATAGAATAATATTTTAGAATGATTAAAATAAGATGAATATCATTGACAATATGATTTTAAATACGTTTACAACGTAAATGAAAAAAGAATAAAATTCTGAGGTAACTTACAGTGCAGAAGAGTGACAAGGATTCTTTAAGCATTCGTCAATGTCTACGCAAATGTCACCTACTAGCTCGAAGCCAGAATAACATTTGCATATTCCAGAATGATCGGATGCTATACAGTTGCCATAGCCACAATCCACTTGATTACAAGGACCTGGACAAATTAATAGTAAAAAAAAAAGATAAATCACGTCACAAATTAATAATTAATAATTAACAATTAATCCTTATATTGACAGATATTTATGTAAGATATGAATGAGACTGGAACTAATTCACTCTGTGAATCACTTTCTGTGTATACTTATTTATTTATACAAGATAAAGTTTTCTTTATCGCTAAGCCAAAAACGATCATTTTCGTGAAAAGTCAAATAATCTTCAGAGAAAACTATATACAATATTTTTAAAATTTTAAATTGATCAATATTAGTTCATAATAATAATTATTATTAATTAGTAATTTAATAGTTCCAAATAAATTTTTGTACAAATTGTGTGTATTTTAAATATATTTTGTATATTTTAAAATAAAGAATCTAAAATTTCAAGTAAGTATGAAAGAGAAACTATCACTTCATATTCGATCTACAAAAAAAGAACTTATTACCAAATTGCTAAATTCTAATTATTTTAAATGCTAATATAAAAATTAAAATCGAATATTTTTATTTTAACAGTGAACTATTTTAATTAATTGTAATTAAATTTATCACTTACTGCTACATTTATTGATATCTTGATTGCAATATTTGTCTATAGGGCAATCATTGTTAGATAAACATTCCACTCTGAAGCATCCTGAAGCGTCTCCGATGTAACCAGGCTGACATTGGCACGCAGCCGTGTGATCCAAAACAGAGCAAATAGTGTTGAGCCCACAGTCGACCAGAGAGCAAGGGTCGGTGCAATTATGTTGAACGCAAGCCTGTGAATCGGCACAATCTGCGTTTACGGTACACTGATGAGGAATCACACAACCTGATCCCACAGGATCGCCAGCTGTGCCTTGCGGACAAACACAGCGATAAGATCCATGAAGATTAACGCACTCTGCACTCGAGTGACACGGTTGATCGTCGCATTCGTTGATGTCTAAACAATGCTCCGGTCCGGCGATGAACCCATGGCTGCATCTATGAAAGAAGATTTGAATAAGAATGAGAATAAGAAAAACTGCTTTATAATAATTAGAAATAAAAATAGTAAAAAAATATATCAGGATAACTGTAAGTAATTGTAAATATTTCTTTATATATCAGAACTGTGAACACGTAATTTTGAAAAACCGAAAAAAATATACTTTATAGTACTCGGAATCGTATTGAATTCAATACTTACTTGCATTTATTATTGATGCACACCTCGTTATCATTGCAACCGACGTCAGAGGTGCAGCCTACTTCGCAAGCCCCATCGATGCACAATTCACCTGGCAAACAATTGCTGTCGCTGTAACACACTTTCACGCATATTCCATTCTTACAACGTTCTCCTTCGGCACAGTTGTTCTGTTCGCTGCATTGACATTGGCAGAATCCAGAGACACAGAGATGTTGGCTAGGGCACTCTTGAGGACCTTCACAGATACTTGGTACTCTGACGCAACCTTGTTGGGGTGTAGGGTTCCCGTGGAATCCAAGAGGACAGCTGCACGTTGTGGCGTGATTTGTGCAGCTACAGATCGCGTTTGGACCACAAACGTCCTTCCTCTTGCACGGGTCTGAATAAAAAATTAGATTATTAATTAAATTTATTAGATTCTAAAGAATTATAGTTTTAAAGGCACTTATTAATGGCTCAGTACCTTGACACTTGTTATTAATGCAGGACTCCGTCAAAGGACAGTTCTTGTTGCTCCGACATCCAAGAATGCATATTCCATTGACACAAGCCTGATCAGTCTGACACTGTGTATGAGTAACACAAGGTATCATACACTTACTATTCACGCATTTCTCTCCGGCAGAGCAATCAGTAGTCGCTCGACAAACAGCTACAACAAATAATAAATTGATTTTCTTAATAAAACCAATAATAAAAATTTTCTCAAAAACAATTGATACATACACTTCATATAATAAATTGTATGAAAATTTTCAAAGTCTTTAAAACTATGCAAAATTGATATTAATTCTTAACGAGGTAGTAATATAATATATATTTGTCTTCATTATATTGCTGCATATAATACATTTATATCATTGGAAATTGCTAAAATCAACAAATCGAATTTAAATCCAAATTCTAATTTTCGCTGTATTAAAATTGTTGAAAACAATACATTAGAAATTGATAATTTTAGTATTAATTTAAGACAACGAATCTTACCTATACACTGTCCTTCAAGACAGACACTTTCCACGCAATCAGCATCCACATTGCAATAATTCGTAGCGCGGACACAGCCATCCTGCGAGCCCTTCGAAGATGGAATGAACTTATGAATACACTTGCAAGTGGGTTGTCCATTGATAATATCACAAATCGAATTCGGTCCACAGGCGTTTTCACAAGGATTCACGCATCGATGATTGTGACAAATAGAATGCACAGGACAATCCTTGGCAGTGGCGCAATAACCCTCCGGTTGACAACCTTTCGCGTAAGGATCTCCAACAAAATTCGATGGACACTGACAAACAGGATTATTAGACGGTCCAGGAACACACAGAGCTGTTTCATGACAAGGATTCGGGTAACAAGCTTCAAGAGCAACGCACTCAACATCAGGAACAGGATTAGGCTTCAATCCTGGTGGACACTGACAAATTGCCTTATGATCATCCGCGATGCAAACAGCGTTCACGCCGCAAGCATCTTCATCGCAAGCATCGTAGCAAGTGTTCGTCAATCTGTTGCAAAGCTGAGTAGGTGGACAGTCGATATTAAACACGCATGGAACAGCTTTACATCCTTTTACAACGTCGTTAGGATCGCCAGCGTAAAGGCCAGGCGGACATTCGCAATTGGCTACATGATTATGCACCACGCACAAAGCGTTCGGACCGCACGAAACAAAATTACAGACTGGTTGACAAGTCAGAAGACCTTCTTTCGTGCTTCTACAAGTCTGATCTTCCGAGCATTCACTGTCAGTGGAACACCGATCCTTTCTAGGTGCCTGACATCCCTGACGATCGTTTGGATTACCAACAAAACCAGACAAACATTCGCAACGACCTCGATGTCTCTCGGCCACGCACTGAGAATTAATTGCACAAGTAAAGCTTTTACACACGGAGATACATTTTAATACACCAAGTGCATCTGGTCTGCACGCTTCTGTGGTGTGACAATCGTCATCGGATATACAATCAGGGACAGATGGTTTCTCACAGGATGATAGTATTGGATTCCATTCGTAGCTATCCTGACACTTGCACGTTGCATGACCAGGGATTATATCAGGCTCGCATTTTTGATGAGCACCGCAGACTACTTTGGTGCATGGGTTCACACACTCGCGGAAACCACCATCTAGAAGGATACAGAAGGAACCTTCGGCACAATCTGAGTCATGTTTGCATCCTGGTGTTATCGCTGATTTAAGTGGTTGACAGCCTTCTATGAGATTGCTTGGATTTCCCTCGTATCCATCGATGCAGAGACACGAAGACGCGTGATTCTGGGTGACGCATAACGCGTTTGGACCACACTGTAACTTGCTGCACGCGTCCACGCACTTTCTGACGCCTTTTCCAACTTGAAAACAGATCTGTTGAGGTTCGCAGTCCAAATCGTTGGAGCAGTGGCCGTGAAGATGGCAACCTTTGGTCAGATCGTTGGGATTACCGCTATAACCAGGTGGACACAAGCAAGCTCCATCCTGGCAAATTGATTTGGGACCACATTTCACGTCACTGCAACGGTTTATGCATTTGCCAGATATGCAAGTGTAATCGAATGGACAGAGAACTGAATCACTGCAGCTGCAGGCTGATGGATCGGTGCATGGACCAACTTGGACTTGTTGGCAACCGATGAAAGGATTGCCGAAATAGCTATCTTTGCAGCGACAGTCATAACTGCCGATTGTATTGATGCACACTGCGTTGTTTCCGCAAGCGTTTCCATTGCATTCGTTGATGTCTAAAGTAATTGATAAAATTCATTTTGTGTTACAAAGTTCTGAAATCTTTTCCTAATTTTTAGGAAAAAACATAAAGAGTTATGAAAGAATTGACGATTTTTTTAGTTATTCTAGCATTCTTAGAATTCTTAGATTTTTTACGAAAGTTCCAAAAAAAAAAAAAAAAAAAAA